ATTGGAATTACTGTTTCAATTCTCCTTTACAGCCTCTAGTGCAAAAAAGTCCTTTAACTGGCAGTTGACTTGTAACTTCAAACTACCATGGCACGACTGCTTGTCATATTCGACCGCTTCCATAGTACTCATCTTACCTTTTTCTCTGCCTTTGTGTCTGGCTGCCTCTTTTACATCTGTGAATCGCTCTTCTGCTCCCCCCTCCCTCTCGACTTTTTTCACTATGATGTTCCTTCCCCTCCGTGAAGCCTGAAGTCAATTAAAGGGCTAACGATAACTATCAAAATGCCTGCCATTTGATATAAATAAATAATCTCAAAATTTAAAACTGAATTTGCTAAGTATTTGCACTGAACTGAAATTTCCTGCAAATGGCTTCTAAATGGAGCAACATTGAAAGGGTGGTTGTGGAAACACCCATAAGCGGAAATGAAACAGCACTCGTTCATATGTGGCGCGCAAGAACTTCCTGGAAATTACTGACCAGAGAACGATCGAAATTGACTTGCCCCAAAGGCGTACAAGTAAGAATGATCACACAATTCCATTATTCAATCAATATGAACTAGCATGAATAACTGATGGTATATAGCCCCCCCCTAGTAACAAATTCTTTTAAAAAGTACTATTCAATTAATATTTTTTGTTATTATTATCTACAGTAATACAAGGAGATAAAAACGAATTTATTCGTTTATTTAATTGTTGACAGCGCCAATAGCTCGATTGGCGTAAAATTAAACCATTTGACAAAAGCGACTTAATGCCACCAATGCACCAAATCCTCAAATTCACTTTTCACCATTAATCTTCAAGATTATAATAAAATTTAATCGAAAAATGAGTAGTGCTTATTAACCAGAGTTTTAATCGTGACGATGATAGATCTTTCCGCAGCTGGTAGCATTTTTTTCCACCAGTTGAAAAGATAAAATGACTCTACTCAAAGCTCAGTAGCTTATAGTCTCAAGATAGCTATTAAAAAAGCCCATTAATTCCTGAATAATAAATTAGACTAGTGAGGGAGGGGGTGGGGTTGGGTGGGGTGGGGTGGAAATTAGTGTGAGCCCATGTACTTATGATAAGCATTCAACTTCATATCCTATGTGTGACAATTATTCAGCCCCCATTGCATAATTAATGACTATGTCACTGAAAGCAAAATGAAAAGCACTTGTCATGCATATCAATGAGGATATGAGCACGTGGTTTTATAAATTAAATTAAACAGGTATTAATCTGAATGTTGATTAAGTAGAAATAAGGCTATTGTTCACTCCTCCACATTCGATCTCCTTCTAATTTTTTAAGTGAAGTTATTGCAGCGCTGTGCTAGTTTGACAAGTGGAGAAAAAATTTAACAAAACTGCATGAATTATTTGAGAATTTTGTGATAGCTGTCAACTTTTATATTTTTTCGCAAAGTTTGCCTAGCTTACTATTCTTTTTCACATGTTTAAACAAGTTCAAATTGACAGAAGTTTGTGTTTAAATACAAAAGGGACTGTCAATTTGTTAAATACCCCTTTTTAATTCCAACTATATAATAGTTTTCCTCTTTCAATTATAAACTAATGAATTTCAATCTAATTTATTTGAAATAAAATTTTAAATTTTTAAATTAGAATTCTAAATACACGAAAATTCAAAATTCTGAAAATATTAAAGTAGTGTGCTCCTCGTTGTGGTTGGCCAATATCAATCAATCGGTGACTAATCAGCTTTGCTTTTCTTGATTGAGAAACTACTCTTCCTCGCGATAAAAGGAAAATAGAGACGAAATCTGAATTCTAGTGTTTGAAATTAACCTATTGACAATGCCAGTCATTTTGTCACCTAAGCCAAAGATCAGTGATATTTGAAAATCCATAATTATTCGTCATGCGAAAGAATTAATAAAAGTAAAGAATTGAAAGGTCACTGTTGACTTAAGACCTGATGGAAATGGCTGAGCAAATTCAGATGACGAATAATTTCATTTGCGCGGAATCAAATTAGCGTGGTTAATAGTTCAATTAAACAAACCGATCTTCAATAATTGAAAATCGTGGGCGATTCAACTCTCATATAGGAAAATAAGAAACTCGTGAATAATGTAATTTGTGGGATAGTACCTTTGGCGGGGAGCCGAAATCAACTTGTCAATGTAAATACACTTTCAAAATGGCCAGCGGAACAGCATGTTACACGACCCAAGAATAGATTACAAATGAATTCATTAAAAGCACAATAAACGCGGCATGTAGGAGTCTTTTTATGCGCATATTTGAAAGAAACATTCCAATGGCTTTTGTTTGAGTGTGTATATATATATATATATATATGCGTCTATTTTTCACCGTTACTCTACTTATATTTGCAGAGTGTTTTCACATCCAGGAACGGTTTCACTGCTTTGTGCAAACACAATCCCTGAAATAGGGGGGGGGGGGGTTATCGATTCAATTTCTACATAACACTTTCAAAATATGCTGGCAGATTCACGCACTTTAATTTTTAAATCGATATCGATTCCTCTCGAAGGTTTGACCAAATTATTATTGATGAGGTTAAATTCATGCCATTTATTTCCTCAATATGTATATATATATATATATATATATATATATATTACTTTAACAGATATCTTGTTCGTTAGCTGTTCTGTGAGATTCATAACGATAAATTAAAATGAGAGCCCCCCTTGAAGTAGGAGGTACGCAAATAGGCCCCAAGACCAGAAACTGAAGTACGTTAAAAGTACGATATTGTGTAATTCTGTTCTTAAAAGAGCAAGCACCTAGAATCCCATCCTCCTTTTTTTCCGTTGGAAAAGTTGCAAATTCATTTAAATACCCAGAACTGATAAAATTCTGCAAGACTGTTTATATGAACGTGATGTTTTGATTCAATTTTCATTGCGCATGCATAATCTAGTTACTTCAACTAATGCATAAACACAACTACTTTGGTTTATAATATACAACGAGCCCCCCCCCCCCCCCAAAAAAAGAAGATCATATGCAATCTTGGCGACAGCATCAGTTAGGCTTTTTTTATAACTCGTGTCGCCTTAAGCCTTAAGTTCCATGAACTGAATATAACCATTTTCAGACATGTAGCAGAGTTCGCGCTACAGGAGATCATGAGCTTAACGCCAAGTGAGCACATCTTGTGGTGCCTTTGCCCAGCCACACTAATTGATTCTGCGCAGTGAAAGAGACAAACAATGCAACTTTCTCCAAAATGCTCTTCCTTCACTCGGATCAAGTGTGATTTGAACTCTCCTTAATAAGATAGTGTTGAACGATGAATAGCTTAATACAGCTCAATTGCGTCTTTAAGCATTAGGCATTAAGTTAGTTTGAAGCATATAGGATTTCTATTAAAACATTAAAACTGAAGTTTAATTAGGGGTACTTATCTCCATGAGCAGTTTTTCATTCGGTTTCACGTAAACAGTTCACATTGTTAGTTTGGTTGTCGAATTTATTTAAAGTTATTAAGTAATATTATATAATATTATTTATTAAGGGGTGTGCGATAGATCTATCTTCACGTGGTTCGGCCTTGACAACGTATACTCATACGGCAAAAAAGTCTATAAACTGCCTGTGGACTTCTGACTTCCAAATGTCATGACCCTACTGTATGTCATATTCCACTATTTCACCGTACTCACCTTACCCTTTTCTCTACCTTTATGTCTGCCTCCTTTACATCTGTGAATTATTATTCTGTCCTCCCTCTAAATTTTTTGTCACTTCAATGTTCTTCACCTATGTGAAGCCTGAAGTCAACTAAATGGCTAATGGTAACTTTCAAAAAGCCTGCCATTTGATATAAATAAATAGATGTTACTTAGTAAAGTTGAAATGTTATGTCTATACGCGTACAGTTATGGCTCAAGTTAGGCCAATTTTTACAGATTCCTGAGACGAATTTGTAGCAAATTCCATGCTAAAAGACAATGGCGAATTGTATTGAAGCTGAAATATTTGATCAATAGAAATTAAAGAAAAAGGAAAGTCACTATCCGTTCAAAAGTATTCTCTAATTTCCACAAATGACTTAAATTATATTAAACAATCAAGTAATAGGGAAAGTAGGATAGGTCCTCTGGAGGTTTTACGGGCTAAGGTGATGACAAATCAGGCCACGTGTAGATCAGGTGAGTAGTTCCAAGTAGAAAAACCAGTTCAAACCAACCGCACCTCGTTGAGTAATTCACAATTTAGTTTGGACTTAAAAATTAATGGCAAATACTTGCACCAAAGTGCTTTACAGCTTAATGCTGGAAAATGGAACCAGATCTAAGGGCATGAAAGACAATCTTTGTATTTCTCAGGCCCCTCTGGTTACTCATCAGTCCATTACATTTCATTATTATTATTATTAAATTTTGAGCTGATTTGAAAAGATCAGGTTGAAAAGTTTAAAATGCCTAAACCCCTAGCCTAAAATAAGCTTCATGACATGACACAAAAAATTCTAGATTTATTTCACTTAGTTACTTTCTAAACCACAATTAAAAGAATTATTTATTTCAAATGGCAGGCGTTTAGATAGACATCATTAGTCATTTAGCTGACTTCGGGCTTCACAGAGGGAGGTTCATCAAAGTGGCAGAAAATCGAGGTGCATTAAATAGTGCTCTAATTAATATTATCATTTTAAATGCGGATACTTGGTCAGCGTACACAAACAATTCAACAAACAAAAGTTTTCACAATTTGAGAAAAAAACAAAGTTATCATTGTAATCTTTCAACATTGAAAACTAGAATTTAGTGAAAATTGCCTCTCAAGAGTTTCTAAGAGCGTCTGATTATAGAATTCAAGTAGAAATAAGTGTCCTGTGTTATTTAAAGCCACGCAAATTCCAAAAATAAACGTTAATAATTTGTTTTACTAAGCCAAAGCCGTGTCGTTCAATTCGCTCTTCGAATTTTTGATTTTCAATTCAACCAATTACTCGCCTTCTTCCTGTCAAGCCCAAACGCCTACTTACTAAATGATGGTCTAATTGAATGCAAGAAAAATTCGAACACCTCAAAATAAAAAAATTATAACAGAGGAGGAAATTGACTTACTATCACCAACACACTTGTGTTCACAGCAGGGTCCAGTGCTGATGTGTTTCTGTCCAGGAAGACAAGAGGATTGGCAATGAAGAACGCTACTCTCACAGTCTGCTGTTCCGTTGATGCAATAGCACTTGGCACAATTTCGTGCATTCGACATCCACGACTGACCTTCGAGGTACCGATTACCTGAACTCTCGTCAAGGCAACCTAAAGTGCATTTAAATTTTATTTAATTTCGTTGCCACGTGGAATTAGGGAAGTGACTCGTGAATTCCAATGTTTTAAGTAGACTGTTGATCTTAGAAAGTGCCATTGTCTCACTTATGTTGAAAAAAATGATTCCCAATATGAATTTGATAGCACATATAATAAAATTAAAGTCATTTTAATAAAGGTGAATCACACAAAAATTTGCACACTTTCTATAGAGTAGCTACCTTTCTGATGGACAAATTCAACGGACTGTTATTCCCTCAAATTTGAAAATCTCGAATTTGAACTAGTTATTTCAAGGGCACTTTATCCTACTATACTGTGTCACAGTTTGCTTTTAACCACTATATGCACTGTATGGTAAATTTATTTAAACGAAAAATTTCGGTTAAGAGTGAGAAACCGATAAAATTTATGGGAGGAAATAGTTTAACATTTACCAAAGCCTCTTACTTTTAATTTACAGCAATGATCAAAATAGGTTGCAATTTTTTTTAATATTTCAAGTTAAATAATAACGAGGATATCTCAAAATGCCCCATGCACATAAGCAAAACCTTTTTTTCAGAGAGATTCGATCTTTGATTAACTCCATGTCTTCTGCATTAAAGGTAATATTTAATTATATATATATATATATATATATATATATATATATATATA